AAACACGTTCCAGAGCAAAGTGTGATATTCTATTTACTTAAAAAAATGGACAAATACACCTCATACGAGAAAAATGTCCACAAATGTAAAATCTCATAATATCCTATGCTAAAAGTTAACATTTTGGTGTAGTTTTGCCAAAAAATATTACGTGTGGCAAAAAAATGCAAAAAAGATCAATATTTTCAATAGGTTTGAGTGTGATAAAACTAAAGAAGATATCAATAGTTGGTTTGGATAAATCCATGCCAACATGAAAAGACACTAAATAGGTCAATTTTCAAAGCACATTCACGGACATGTCGAGACCACATTTGCACAGGGTGGATAAATTAGGAATATTTTGAAAACATATTAATAGTCGGTTTGGATAAATCCACGCCAACATGAAAAGATACTAAAAAGGTCATTTTCTAAAGCAGATGTCACCGACATGTCGAGACCACATTTGGACATGGTGGATAAATTAGGAATATTTTGCAAACATATTAATAGTCGGTTTGGATAAATCCACGCCAACATGAAAAGATACTAAAAAGGTCATTTTCAAAGCAGATGTCACCGACATGTCGAGACCACATTTAGACATGGTGGATAAATTAGGAATATTTTGCAAACATATTAATAGTCGGTTTGTATAAATCCACGCCAACATGAAAAGATACGAAAAAGGTCATTTTCTAAAGCAGATGTCACCGACATGTCGAGACCACATTTGGACATGGTGGATAAATTAGGAATATTTTGCAAACATATTAATAGTCGGTTTGGATAAATCCACGCCAACATGAAAAGATACTAAAAAGGTCATTTTTCAAAGCAGATGTCACCGACATGTCGAGACCACATTTAGACATGGTGGATAAATTTGGAATATTTTGCAAACATATTCATAGTCGGTTTGGATAAATCCACGCCAACATGAAAAGATACTAAAAAGGTCATTTTTCAAAGCAGATGTTGCCGACATGTCGAGACCACATTTAGACATGGTGGATAAATTTGGAATATTTTGCAAACATATTAATAGTCGGTTTGGATAAATCCACGCCAACATGAAAAGATACTAAAAAGGTCATTTTTCAAAGCAGATGTCACCGACATGTCGAGACCACATTTAGACATGGTGGATAAATTTGGAATATTTTGCAAACATATTAATAGTCGGTTTGGATAAATCCACGCCAACATGAAAAGATACTAAAAAGGTCATTTTTCAAAGCAGATGTCACCGACATGTCGAGACCACATTTAGACATAGTGGATAAATTTGGAATATTTTGCAAACATATTAATAGTCGGTTTGGATAAATCCACGCCAACATGAAAAGATACTAAAAAGGTCATTTTTCAAAGCAGATGTCACCGACATGTCGAGACCAAATTTGCAGATGGTGGATAAATTAGGAATATTTTGCAAACATATTAATAGTCGATTTGGATAAATCCACGCCAACATGAAAAGATACTAAAAAGGTCATTTTTCAAAGCAGATGTCACCGACATGTCGAGACCACATTTGGACATGGTGGATAAATTAGGAATATTTTGCAAACATATTAATAGTCGGTTTGGATAAATCCACACCAACATGAAAAGATACTAAAAAGGTCATTTTTCAAAGCAGATGTCACCGGCATGTCGAGACCACATTTGGACATGGTGGATAAATTTGGAATATTTTGCAAACATATTAATAGTCGGTTTGGATAAATCCACGCCAACATGAAAAGATGCAAAGGTCATTTTTCAAAGCAGATGTCACCGACATGTCGAGACCACATTTAGACATGGTGGATAAATTTGGAATATTTTGCAAACATATTAATAGTCGGTTTGGATAAATCCACGCCAACATGAAAAGATACTAAAAAGGTCATTTTTCAAAGCAGATGTCACCGACATGTCGAGACCACATTTGCACATGGTGGATAAATTAGGAATATTTTGCAAACATATTAATAGTCGGTTTGGATAAATCCACGCCAACATGAAAAGATACTAAAAAGGTCATTTTTCAAAGCAGATGTCACCGACATGTCGAGACCACATTTGCACATGGTGGATAAATTAGGAATATTTTGCAAACATGTTAATAGTTGGCTTGGATAAATCCACGCCAACAAGAAAAGATACTAAAAAGGTCATTTTTCAAAGCAGATGTCACCGACATGTCGAGACCTCATTTAGACATGGTGGATAAATTTGGAATATTTTGCAAACATATTAATAGTCGGATTGGATAAATCCACGCCAACATGAAAAGATACTAAAAAGGTCATTTTTCAAAGCAGATGTCACCGACATGTTGAGACCACATTTAGACCTGGTGGCTAAATTAGGAATATTTTGCAAACATATTAATAGTTGGTTTGGATAAATCCACGCCAACATGAAAAGATACTAAAAAGGTCATTTTTCAAAGCAGATGTCACCGACATGTAAAGACCACATTTGCACATGGTGGATAAATTAGGAATATTTTGCAAACATATTAATAGTCGGTTTGGATAAATCCACGCCAACATGAAAAGATACTAAAAAGGTCATTTTTCAAAGCAGATGTCACCGACATGTCGAGACCACATTTAGACATGGTGGAGAAATTTGCAATATTTTGCAAACATATTAATAGTCGGTTTGGATAAATCCACGCCAAAATGAAAAGATACTAAAAAGGTCATATTTCAAAGCAGATGTCACCGGCATGTCGAGACCACATTTAGACATGGTGGATAAATTAGGAATATTTTGCAAACATATTAATAGTCGGTTTGGATAAATCCACGCCAACATGAAAAGATACTAAAAAGGTCATTTTTCAAAGCAGATGTCACCGACATGTCGAGACCACATTTGCACATGGTGGATAAATTAGGAATATTTTGCAAACATGTTAATAGTTGGCTTGGATAAATCCACGCCAACATGAAAAGATACTAAAAAGGTCATTTTTCAAAGCAGATGTCACCGACATGTCGAGACCACATTTGCACATGGTGGATAAATTAGGAATATTTTGCAAACATGTTAATAGTTGGCTTGGATAAATCCACGCCAACATGAAAAGATACTAAAAAGGTCATTTTTCAAAGCAGATGTCATCGACATGTCGAGACCACATTTAGACATGGTGGATAAATTTGCAATATTTTGCAGACATATTAATAGTCGGTTTGGATAAATCCACGCCAACATGAAAAGATACTAAAAAGATCATTTTTCAAAGCAGATGTCACCGACATGTCGAGACCACATTTAGACATGGTGGATAAATTAGGAATATTTTGCAAACATATTAATAGTCGGTTTGGATAAATCCACGCCAAAATGAAAAGATACTAAAAAGGTCATTTTTCAAAGCAGATGTCACCGACATGTCGACACTACATTTGCAGATGGTGGATAAGTTAGGAATATTTTGCAGACATATTAATAGTCGGTTTGGATAAATCCACGCCAACATGAAAAGATACTAAAAAGGTCATTTTTCAAAGCAGATGTCACCGACATGTCGAGACCACATTTAGACATGGTGGATAAATTTGGAATATTTTGCAAACATATTAATAGTCGGTTTGGATAAATCCACGCCAACATGAAAAGATACTAAAAAGGTCATTTTTCAAAGCAGATGTCACCGACATGTCGAGACCACATTTGCACATGGTGGATAAATTAGGAATATTTTGCAAACATATTAATAGTCGGTTTGGATAAATCCACGCCAACATGAAAAGATACTAAAAAGGTCATTTTTCAAAGCAGATGTCACCGACATGTCGAGACCACATTTAGACATGGTGGATAAATTTGGAATATTTTGCAAACATATTAATAGTCGGTTTGGATAAATCCACGCCAACATGAAAAGATACTAAAAAGGTCATTTTTCAAAGCAGATGTCACCGACATGTCGAGACCACATTGGGACATATGGTGGATAAATTTGGAATATTTTGCAAACATATTAATAGTCGGTTTGGATAAATCCACGCCAACATGAAAAGATACAAAAAAGATCATTTTTCAAAGCAGATGTCACCGACATGTAGAGACCACATTTGCACATGGTGGATAAATTAGGAATATTTTGCAAACATCTTAATAGTGGGCTTAGATAAATCCACGCCAACATGAAAAGATACTAAAAAGGTAATTTTCTAAAGCAGATGTCACCGACATGTCGAGACCACAGTTGCACATGGTGGATAAATTTGAAATATTTTGCAAACATATTAATAGTCAGTTTGGATAAATCCACGCGAACATGAAAATATACTAAAAAAGTCATGTTCTAAAGCAGATGTCACGGTCATGTCGAGAACATATTTGCACATGGTGGATAAATTATAGTAATATTTTGCAAACATGTTAATAGTTGTCTTGGATAAATCCACGCCAACATGAAAAATACTAAAAAGGTCATTTTCTAAAGCAGATGTCACCGACATGTCGAGACCACATTTGGACATGGTGTATAAATTAGGAATATTTTGCAAACATGTTAATAGTTGGCTTGGATAAATCCACGCCAACATGAAAATATACTAAAAAGGTCATGTTCTAAAGCAGATGTCACCGACATGTCGAGACCACATTTCGACATGGTGGATATATATTTTGCAAACATATTAATAGTCGGTTTGGATAAATCCACGCCAACATGAAAATATACTAAAAAGGTAATTTTTCAAAGCAGATGTCACCGACATGTCGAGACCACATTTGCACATGGTGGATAAATTAGGAATATTTTGCAAACATATTAATAGTCCGTTTGGATAAATCCACGGCAACATGAAAAGATACTAAAAAGGTCATTTTTCAAAGTAGTTGTCACCGACATGTCGAGACGACATTTCCATACTTCCATATAAGCCATACATACTTTTGTTTTAATACCATGCCTTGCTTAAATATTAAAATATTTCATATGTAGGGGCAAAGTGAGGCTGTGGCAAAAACAATAGTATCATATTAGTAAACCACATGGGCTCAGTACTTCAAAATACATACTGCAGTAAGGATCACAATTCCTTTATTTGGATGTTTTAAAAGTTTCCATTCAGCTTCTCTGTCCAATGTTTGTTGCATAGCAGTACAACATCACCTTTTCCACGACTCACAACAACAAAATGCGTCAGGTTGGATATATTGCGCAGGCTTGGATTGATGAGTTTTAGCCATTCCTCACATTAAACATAATAACAGTCTCTGTGGTGGGCGTGCAAGACTCCTTGAAAAGTGATATGAAAAGGCAACAAGAGAAAAATAATCTAAAGTGGTAAATTAACACAATTCAATGCATATAGTAGAATTATAGCCAACAGGACTCCACACTAAGAACTTGTGACAGTGACAGTTCACTCAGGCTGAGTTTGAGTTGAATTTGGGTTTTATAAATATTAGAAACATATACTGTATTATTAAATTAATAGGAACATGTTAGAAAACGGTTTTACACACTCACTCATAAAATATTTCTATATCTTAAATATCGGGATCTTCAAAAGCTCTTCTTTTGTTTCCTAAATAGTCCTTTCAACTTCGAAGCAAAATTATAATTCACTGTACTTCATTTTTTTGCGTTT